GAAGCGGCACCAGATATTCTCACTGCAAGGGTGGCTCAAACTAAGGCAGTGATGAAGGGTCATACATCTCATTCCTTTCTTTTCAAGCCTGCTAGACAGAGATAAATCTCTCCAGCATCTCAAAGAGTCAATTAACATTCTCTCAAAGCGACCCATCCCGGGCCGCTCGGTTTACCGGGGGCATTCTTCTCCTTATATCCTTATTCCTACATTTCACAATAAATGGTTGAGTGAGGAGTTATATTCTAGTGATTTAATCACTGTATAAGGAATGATTCCAAGGAACGTGGCTCTGATACCAACTATAAAGGTCTGAAATCTTAAGAGAATGAATATATATTAAAATAGCGAAAACAAATAATAATTAGGGTTTATATTCCTTACATAGTAAATTAGGATGTCTAATAGGGTTACTGGAATGTCCTTTTTAAAAAAGTTAAAATAACAGAAACAGAAATGAAACTAAAATCTTATGGGATTAACCTCCACTGGCAACTTAGATGGGGTCCCATATTTAACCTTTACTCACAACCCTCCCGCTGTTGAGTATCTGGATCTTGATATGAAATTGTTAAATACAGAGATGAACTACAATAATTCAGTAAGAATATCACACTAATCACTGATACAGTCAACTGAAGGTCGGTAAAATTATAAAATAACTAATGGAGCCCTTAATTTAGATAAATTCATTTGACATAAAACTGTTTATTCCATACTGACCGTTATGAGTTTCTAAAATCGACCTATAAAGACAATAACTCAAATAACATTATGATTTTATGTGCAAGTGAGCAAGAATACTAATTTTTTTATTTGCTTACTGATACCTCTGGAGGTCCATAAGGATGTCCTCCTACACGTGAACCCAATATCCAAAGTTGTCAATTAACCGGTCGTCCGCATATCCCATTCGGTAATGGGTTCCAAACACCATCGTCTCGATACCCCGTCCGGTATGAGAGTGAACTATATCTCCTAAACTCTTTCGGTATGAGACTTTTCAGCCCTGTCCGACTGAGATAATGTCCAAGTAGGATTTTCTATGTACCGGGTCCGTCTACTCTTTCCTAGGGTACCCAGTAAGCATTTCGTACATAGATTCACACAATTAACCAATTACCAATGACATACCAATATCTCATATTTACATATCAATAATAAGTCATGCAAATAGGTGATATGTACATCAAGAAACATGATTGAGATATTTATTATAAAACAATTCAACAAATAAAGGCTATGCGGTTAGGTAAACTAAATAACCAAGAAGGCAATTAAAACTAGCAATTTAATGCACACAATATAATAGTAAGCATTTTAAGTAGTATAGACGAAAGTGTGAATAAGGATCGCCCGCGTGGCCTCCTGCATGGAGCTGAGGTCAGTGTGTCAGCAACGCAGCACGTTCTGACTCATCGTGGCTGCTGGCTGAGTCGTCCCATGCGGCCAAACTTTTATTTTTTACTATTTTACCCCTGATTTTTAAATTTTTTTTCAAAAACACCCTCCTTATTCACACTTTCACCTATTTTCTCTAGAATTATTTTCAATTTCGTTCATAATTTATTTTTTTTTTCAAAAATTTAACCAAAATTAAATTAAAATAAAATTTTAATTATTCATATATATATATATATATATATATTTTATAACTTGAAAAATCACCCTGGACCAAATTTCCGGGCCCAGGTGTTACAGTAGCTTCCTACTCTTTCATAGTAATCAAGGACGAGTTCAGCAAAGAGATAAGTAGATGTCTTGAATAAGTAATACGCTTGGCATAGATAATTGCTACTAGGGTCAACCTTATCATGTGTTAGCTCACTCTCCTCTTTCATTTCCCTATGAAGGACTTCCTTAAATTATAATAAATTCTATGTATCAGATTGGAGCTGTAAGATGGGTTTAGATTGAGCTTGGGCCTTTGACTGGGCTAGCCCTATCTGGGCCGAATGGACTTGGGTTGGTCCAGTCAGCTTACCCAATTGCAACACATGAATTTTGTCAGAGCACGTTTTTTTTTTTTTTTTTAAGTCGAATAATTACAACAAAAAAAAAAAAGAAAAAGAAGAAAAAACATCGTAACTCACCAGCTCTGAAGTGGAGATCCACAACTGCAACTGTCATTGCTACTGGCGATGTTTAGTTAAGAGACTGAGAAGGAGACGAAGAAGAAGAAGAAAAGAAGTCTGTCTTTTGGACACCGAGTCAACTAGACTTGGCTCAACCGTTAGATCCTTGTTCACACACACACATATATATAATATAAATCAAAGATAACTTAATTATATTTCATCTATAGGGATACAATGGCGTCCCAAGAAACATTCTTGATCTAACGAGCCGCCTTCATTATTTTTTAGCATTTTGAGTCTAAACATCGTTGATATTGAACGTATAAGTCAATATTCTATCTATTTGTCGATATGGGTACCAATTATATTTGATATTGTATTTTATAAATTAAAAAAATTATATTTTTTATAAAGTTAATTATTTATGTGATAACTATTATTTGTATGCAAGAGTTTTGTATGTTTATATCAAGTGTCATCAAGTTATATAAATTATCTATGATTTGAAAACCCATTTGATATACCT